AAAAAAAAAAAAAAAAAAAAAAAAAAGCAGCAGCTTTCCTTGTCTCCTCCCAGGCCAACTCAGGAAAGTAGGGAATGGTAAATCATGACTGCCTATCAATTTTATATGTGTCTCAATCCATTCTACCTTCCCTTTCGTTTTCTATGTTTTTACAATCTGTACTTCTAAAGATAATCCAATCTTTCATTCTGCCTTTGTTGCTTGAGGTGTTTTTAATAGCAGCATCTGACCCAAGGCTGCTAATCTCTATAATCCATGTTCCAACATGGATTTTAATTCATATGCTTGCAGTCCCAAAATATTCCCAGAAGTTAAATGACAGCCTAAATTTGGGGTCTTAATCATTAAGAAATATATAATTGTTATATTACTGTTCATAACCACTCTCTCCCATGCCCCCATCAGCTCACTTCATTCATTCATGTATTTGATAAATATGTAGTACCCACTAGATTTCCATCACTACTCTAGCTGTTAGAAAACAAAAATGAAGCCCCTGCTCTCATGGTGAGGAGGAAAATAAATATTACACATTAAGTCTTAAAAAGAAAAATCAGAAGGATCAAGACCCAGAGAAGGCTATTTTAGATAGAGTAATTAGATGATAGCTGAATAAAGATAAAAATAAAGATAATGGGCCGGCGCTGGGGATTTAGCTCAGTGGTTCCACCGTCGGCCTCACAAGCACAAGGACCAGAGTTCGATCCCAGTACAAAAAATATAGATAGATAGATAGATAGATAGACAGACAGACAGACAGACAGATACAAATTTTATAGTTTGTAATAGCTAAAACTTGGAAACAGTCCATTTGCCCATCAGTTGGAGACTGGATAAAGAAGATGTGGTTTTTCTATAAAATGGAATACTACAATCATAAAGAATGAGAAATTAGAGTCATTCATAGGAAAATGGGTGCATATTGAGGTCATACTCTTACATGAAATAAGTCACACATGTGTAAATACAGAATAGTTTCTCTGTTGTGAAAAACTATAATTTTAAGTAAGATCCTAATAGTATAATTGACAATGTGTAATAGGAAGAAAAGGGCTAAAGGTGTAGGGAACTGGGAAGGGTAGGAAAAAGGAAATAAGGGAAAAGAAAAAAATATGAGAAAATGAAAAAATGGAAATAAAGTTTTTGTAAATAGGGAAGGGAAGAGGGGGTGAAGAGAGGGCAGGGGTATGGGGAAAAATGAGAACCAAGACCTGTCATGTAAAGGTACAAGATCCCAATGATGAATGTAACTGTACTGTATACCTAAAATTACCAATAAACTCAATGTGGAGGGAAAAAAAAATATAATGGGCCAGGGATTTAGCTCAGTGGTGTTGCAACCTGCCTGTACCAAAAAAATTAAATAAGTAAAATAAAGATAATGAACTGTTCAGACACTGGGGAAAGGGCAGAGGCAGAGGGAAAAATACAAGCTCTGAAATATTAAGTGTTTTCATGCTTTAAAAAATCGAACTACTTTCTAGGTAGAATGAACTGCAAGTTCTCTAACAAAATCAAAGAGGCAGAAGTATGCCTGTATCTGAGGAATAATAATGACCAAGTGTAGTAGGTAGGGTCAGCAAGAGACAGGAGTTATTAAAGATGAAGTCACAAAAGTAACTGAGGACGTATCATGTAAGGCATTGAAGGTCACTGACAATATTTTTTACTCAGACATAGGAAGCCATGGAGTTTTGAGCAAAGAAGTAATGTGATCTTTGCAGTTACTGCTGTCTAGATATATACTGGTGGTAGAACCAAGGGAACTGTACTAGCAGGTCAGGTGTGTAATTAGAGAAAGAAATCAAGGACGATTCCAAGTTGACTTAACTCAGCAACGGGAAGAATGAAAACTAACACTAACTCATGTTTGCCTCAGACAACCAAGCTGACAAATCAAAAGAGCAACAGGTTCCCACAATATTATGAGTTAAATTTCTGAGACATAATCATTTTATATTTAAAGTAATGAGTTTATGTTTCATGAAAAATTATCCTTCACTGGTTTTGAAAGTTATCCAACAAGATGGCCAATGCCAAAACTGATTCATAAAACAGCCAGATACACAGCACTGCTATGCAGCTTCAGGCTTTGTCTCACTTTTCTTGGTTTGCATTGTTAATTAAAATGTAACTCAGCTCTCTCTCTACTTTTTTTCCACTCCTGATTTTCTATTTATTCTAATTCAGACAATAAGCTATTTCCTATTAGTGGTGGCAATAAATGCATAGCTTCATGATGAAACCATCTGGTGCTCTCTGTAGATGGATTAATGAGTTACAGTTATTCTCTGTTCACTGAGAATGCAGAATATCTATTTTGTCTGTATTTATCCACTGTGAACTAAAATCAAGACTCTAAAAAGAATCCCTACTTTGGCAGCTAAATTATTTTTTTGTATTTTTGCATTCACTCTTGGCTTATGGCCAAAGTAGTAGAACTTAAGCTATAAGCTCTTTCTGTGTTTAATTCAGAAAAAGTTATCTATCACTGTGAAATTATTATGTTAATACTCTATGGGATTAACATGTTAAATTATAAAGTCTCTTAAAGAAGTACTATTCTGATTGGTTTATAGAGATGACTAAAATTAAAATGATTTCTAGAAAAATATTCCTATTCCCAGAAAATAAAACTGAATTGTAATACTTTAACTACATTACAATTTTGAAAAAACTTATTGGAGGAACTCAATTAGAAGCATTTTAAGAAGGTTAGGTATGGAGTTCAGGGATAAAACTGCTTCCCCTGGGCTCACTCTCTATACTAAGAAGGGAAGAGGAAGGGAAGGAAAGGAAACATTTTAAGGATACAGGTTAAAATAATTAAATGAAGTCTTTGGTAAATAAGACTAATTTAATAACTTTGGTTTTATGAAAAAACCATATCCTTTCTCCTGTTTGTCAGTGTTAAGTATCATACAAATATTTTATTCTATTTAGGTTTGTTTCTCTCATGCAGAGACATACCAGTCAAAGCTTAAACTATTCCTCTACACTGTTTAAGAATAACAACATATAAAACTGTATCCAGCTAAAATGAATCATTACTCCATGACATTTATGTTTTGAAGAATGTCATCTCAAAAATAATTTTCAAAACTTTCATGTAACTTAAAACAGTAGACAATGCTTAAATATGACATCTCTCAATACCATCTCTGTGCCCAGTTTCCTTTATAAAATAGATGTTACTATGATTAAAAGTCATAATTAACCTAAGTGGTAACAACTACACTTGAATAGTGACAAAAAATACAAACTATACGTGGTTTTGTTTTTCAAGAAAAAAAAAAAGCTTTTCCTAAAGTGGCAACTCTCAGAACATTAGTGATAATTCCAGATTTTCTGTTATCAGTTAAAACTCTTGGTATTATTTACCATATTAAAAATTAAAACCAAAATAATTTATATACTTACTTGATAAAAATACATATTAAACAATTTTAGAATAATAATGAAAAACTTTTTAACTTTGCAGACTCCTTTAGAGACATTAGGGACCCTAGAAAGACAAAGTCTACAGAGTCAGTATATTCCAGAATACAGAAAATGTACAATGAAAAATAAAACTTGAAAAATGAATTCTGAACACTTCAGTATGAGGTTATGAAATGTGTTAAAACATTAGCATAATTACTCAATTTTGATGGATTTGTTTAATGCCTTTACTTACACTATGAAAGTTTATCTTCCTTGTAATTAACCTAGACAGCAGAGATTCAGTTGACTTTATTATGGTTTGTTGTTGTTGTTGTTATTGTTTTAGTTTTTTGAGACAGGGTCTCATTATGTAGTTGAGACTGACCTGGAACTCACTATGTAGACCAGGCTGGTCTCAAGCTCACAGCGATCCTCCTGCCTCAGCCTCCCAAGTGCAGGGATTACAGCTGTGCACCACCACACCCAGCTACTATGTTTTTCAATTAAAGAAAAAATATGAGGAAAATCCCCTATTTAAGAATTCTGGTTCTTGGAGCCCAGGATTTGGCTCAGTAGTTCCACCACCTGCCTCACAAGCACAAGGACCTGAGTTCCATCCCTGGTACAAAAAAAAAAAGCTCTGGTTCTTGTTCTTTAAAACCATGTTAATGTCTACATTTGTCTTTAAATGCTTTACTGTCATTTCAATTAAACTGGTAGCCAAATATTGTTTCTCAGGTAAAATGTTCAACTCTCCTCTTTTGATTTGCCTTTTTAAAATCAAACCATACGGCTGGGGGGCGGGTTACACCTTTGTGGTAGAGTACTTGTCTAGTATATGTAAGGCCCTGGGTTCAATCCTTAGCACTATGAAAACAAGATAAGAACATAAATTTAGAAAAGGAAATCCCCCTAAAAAATCTATGAAATTTCTGAGAGCCCCAGGATTAAGTACAGAGATTATTTTACCCTGTAAAAGAAGAG